CCTCCTCCCTTTTTCTCCTCTCTCCCTCTCTGTTTGCCTCTCGCTGTATTTCCTTGACACTGACATTACTCCGGTGTCACTCCAAATGAGCTTATAGGCAGCTGGAGGGAAGCAGACATCGGGAGCTCCATATAGCGAGGGTATTCATTACCCTAGCCCTAACCTTTACACAAATGGACCTGCAATCCTCCTTTGTCTTCATTTTCTCCCAGCCCGGCTCTCTGCCCACCTATTGCTATGAAACTATTGGCTTCAGACGTTTGTCATCTTCAAAGGTCCTTCAAGGTTGCAGATGCTTTTTTCCCCCTTATTTATTTATTGATGAACCTGTTATTGTCCTCAACACAACAAAAATAGAAGATTGTAGGTATTGTTATGAGAACAGCTTTACATTAAAGAGGCTAACTGCCCATGTCTTTACTTAGGGATATTGTGTTATCACTAAGACACCAGTGGTAGCTATGGTAACAAGTACAGGACGTCTGAAAAGCTCATTTGTGAGAAATGCAGTCTAATATACCATGAAAATCTCAATAAATAACCTAAACTGGGCCCAGTGGGTATCAGGTTTCTATTCTGCAAGTACAAGGTACTGGCACATACCCTGCAAGTACCAGACAGGTCCAAGGTACATACATGGCACATACCCCGCAAGTACAAGGTACATGGTATTGTGGGGTGGCTGTGGCTGAGTGATTAGAGCAGTCGTCCTCTAATGCAAGAATTGGGGGTTCGATTCCACCGGCAGTCACATGCCGAAATGTCCCTGGGCAAGACAATGATGTGTGCCTCCAATGTGTGTCCCATAGGTGTACGAATGTTATAAAGCACTGATTATTATTTGTATAGATCTATTAGAGTGCTGTATGAATGGGTAAACGAGGACACAGAATGTAGTGCAAAGCACTTTGAGTATATTGATAAGATAGGAAGGTGCTATATAAGTACAGTCCATTTATCATTTACATACTCTGCACATACTCTGCAAGTACCTGTAAACACCTGGTATGTACCAGTCACAAATTCTGTAAGCATCAGTTAAGTACCAGGCACGTATTCTGTACATACCAGGCTGTATCAAACTGCCAAATTTTCAAGGATTCAAGGGTATTTATTTGTCGTAGACATCACACGTGGTACATGTGGTGTAACAAAATTGTGTACACAGTGTCCCAGTTACATTCAAGAAAAGTATTAAAATGTAGAAGAAAAACAGTAATAAGATCTAAGATATGAACAAAGAAAAATGTTAACTCAAAATACACTAAGCACGCATAGCATAAAAAACAATATGCCGAACAGCAGCACAAACATGAGTCTGTGTGAGCAGATGAGCATGAATGAACACAGCAACATGAAACAGATCAGCAGCAACATGAAACAGATCAGCAGCAAAATGATGTGTTTTTTTACACAGTGATTATTCTAGTTATAGATTCATGAGTCTAACAGCTTCAGGGTAGAAGCTGTTCCTCAGTCTAGTGGTTCTACACTTAATGCTCCTTAACCTCCTTCCTGAGGGGAGTGGGGCAAAAAGTGTGTGTGCTGGGTGAGTGGGGTCCTTCATGATGCAGGTGGCCCTCTTCCTGCATCTGGAGGTGTAGATGTCTGTGATGGTGGGGAGTCTGACTCCAACACACTTCTGTGCAGCCTTCACCACTCTCTGCAAAACTTTTCTTTCTGCAACTGTGCAGCCTCCATGCCACACGTTGATGCTGGAGCACAGGATGCTCTCCACTGCACACCTGTAGAAGGAGGTGAGGACTGAGCTTCCCAGACCAGCTCGTCTCAGCCGCCTGAGGAAGTAGAGTCTCTGATGAGCTTTCAACGTTTAAAAGTTATCTTTCTAATTACCATAAATATGCCTGACTTAACACCAGACCCAAAGAGTCTGATTAGAAAAAAACTTATCCTTGGGTGCAAGTTTTCAAACAACCCCTGGATTAGGCTTTTATTTTGTACCAGTCTCAAGACCATTAACCCTTAGCTAAACCCAGTTTGGTTTTCCACCCGACTGCCATCCAGACCCAAGGTTCTCACTTCTTCCAAAACGTGAAGAAGCACGTAAGACGTTGTCAGCTGAAGATCGTCTCATGACAAATAAGTTAATTTACCACATGACCAGCAAGGTTAACTGGTGCATCTGCAACTGTTTGCTTCGAGTGTTACGGAACATTAAGCGGTGAACAACAAACTTCGACACAAGTGGCGGTAGCCACATGAAGAGCTGCTTCAACGGTCCTGCTCAATTTGCCACCACTGTTTGAAAATGACATGGATTTCTAAAGACGAGCACATTGTTGACGGGTCGTGTCCTTGAGACAGCAGCCGTGAAAAAGAAATGTACAGATTTCTCTCCCCCACCCCCCACCCCAAAAGGTCACGCAGCAGTGAGATTACTTAATTTGACACTTTGTCCTTAGGTTAAGTATAATGTCATCGTGAGCAATGACACTGAAATGCCAGTGAGCACACTCGGAATAAGAACAAATCTGAATGTCAGCTCACAACTTCACATGACAGAGGCTCAGCGCTCAGCTTTGATGTACAGCGCCCTTTTCTGTCCGAAAGTCAGGGTCCGCATCATCAGCTTTGAAATGCAGCTACATTTTCAACCAGAACTAGCATTTCTTGAAAGAATGCATACCACATGTTGCTTTGTGTGCCAAAGTTTTAAACAAAAATGTCTGTTAGTGCTCATTATATGTGATGGGGATGACTCTCAGCTACTACCACACCAAATTATAGCTCAAATTCTGTCAAATTGACTCAGTTATAGCTTTTATTTTTGTTTGAGACAAATATGACTAGCTTTAGTAGCCATCTTGTCTAAGGTTGACACCAAAAGTTGTGAGCGTTTAAATCAAATCAGTCTTGCGATTGATAAAATATTTTGCTAACAGACAAACAATTACTCACACAGACAGACAACTGCATGATTAAATGTGACATTAAATGTTGTACCATATTTTTCGGACTATAAGACGCACTTAAAATCCTTTAATTTTCTCAAAAATCGACAGTGAGCCTTATCTATTCATTCTGGTTGTTCTTACTGACCTCAAACTGATTTTATATGGCACAACTGAACAATGTTGAGCGTTATTGTGAATGAGTTGAATAAAGTTTGACTTATCTGACTGTTTTGTTTTGCTTAATGCACCTTATAGTCCGAAAAATATGGTAATTAAAATAACTTGACATAATTTTAGTTTTAGCGTCATTTATATCATTCTTGTGTCTACATAACAAGTAAATTAACAGGGTTTTTTTTCACCTTTTGCGACTTTCATCTGGGTGCTAAATTAAAACATACTTATTTAGGAGTAGTAAGGAGGGGAAGGAATGTGACTACTAAATGGAGGACATCATATTCAAACTAAATGCAGGGAGTAAAATCACCTCATTAGCAGGACCTATTCTTTGAGGAACTGCGAGGCATTCATTCCCTTCAGCAAACCAACAGGGGTTATACATTCACATTTATGTTTTCTCCATAATCACAACATCAGCTTTCCCATTATTGTATTTTATTAGTTTTTCAGCTTTAGTCCTCTAAAGCTAAAGTCCTCTAAAGGAGACCAAAGAGAAATGTTTATTGTGTAAATGAAAATATGTTGGTGTGTTTTTCTGTCTGTGAGAGATTTAATGTGTGTTCATTATCCTTCCTAACAGTCTACTACTCTAAACAGATGTTTGTGTATTTGTCATGCTTTTTTTTTACATATGTTACTGATCCCAAGGACAGTTGTATTCATCCCTCTTTAAGGGATACTATTGATCTTTTGAAGTTGGGTTCTGTGGAAAGATAATGAACAATTGGCGTCTTACCTGACACAGATGACTCGTTTAACAAACTAAGTTTGGATAAATGGTGCCACAATCTGTGGGTTTTATGTTCCTGTGGGTTTATTTATTTTTTTGTTTGTTTCTTTGCGTTATTGTTTTTGTTACTATGTGTTCCTCTGTACCACCAGCTACTTCACCCAGTACTTTACTACTGCGAGTATTTGCTTTTCAGTCTAGCCACGCCCACCTCACCTGTTCACCATTCCAATTAGTCTCAGCTGCAGCCACTTCCTTTGTCACAATTCACCGATTGAACATTATTGGCTTTCATGCCATGTTTTGATTTTCCTCATGCCTTTTTTTTGTGCTGCCTTGTGCGTCCTTTTACCTTCTTGCGATTGTCGAGAAGTGTAAGTATTTTACTAGTACATTAGTGTTTTATTTTTTGTTAAATATAACACTTTTAGTGATTTTTTTTGCTCCTTGTGTAAGTCTGCATTCTGGATCCAAACCTACAAACTGTGGCAAATAATGTCATTCTGACTGGATTGATGAGCTAATGGAAACAAGACCAAAGTTTATGGATTTAAACTCAAATATTTCACATAAACACAGATTTATAATCTTTTACATCACTTTCAGTTTTGCTTTACACAGGTATTTACGTAGAATTTGATGGGTATTAACATGCACAAATACCAGCAGCAACAGCTAGCTATAGCACTTCCTATGTAACCTGAGGCACTTCGAGCAGGAATACTGTAATAAATCTGTTGGAATAACTGACAGCAGTGTTTATAAAATAGCATTTCAATGAACTACTATAGCATTTTTGTAATTGTTTTGAAGTGGCAGCAATCCACTTTGGTTTTGTCCCAATCGAACTAGCCATTAGCTCATCAGTCCGGTTTGAATTAAACTTTATTTCTTTAACCTGACATCATTCAAAGAGCTATCTACAAAAGGCAAAAATAATAATCCATAACCTTACCACAGATATTTTTAAAAGATCTGAACTTTAAACCTTTTCATATGTTTCTAAAGGAATGTTGACTTCCAGCTTCACTAAATAATAAAACCTTAAATTATATTTTGTGTTTTTAAACCCTTTGGTCCTCATCCATATTTACATACATTTACTGCATTCGTTTTGAACCTTTAGCACATGATAAATATAGATTTAAACATGTTCTTTCTTTGTTAAACATTAGACTTTGCTGGCAAATCCTATTGTTGCTGAGGCCCTCAACAAGCGTCTCGCTGGCACCAGATGGTCGTCCAAGCTGCTGGGGAACTTCCTGTACAACGGACCTCCTGAAGACCGTCCAGCTGGGATGCCACATTACGACTGGAGAGATGCTTACAACGCCACTACCGAAATCTTGAAGCTCCTCTCCAAATTCCTCGGCGTAAGTAACTTTTTTTTTGAGTGCAAAATGTTTGACCTCCGCATCACTCATGCACCAAAAGGATTCTTCGGAGAAGGAAGACGTTTTTTTTTTTTTTTTTATAAAATGGGAAAAGGCTGTGACATTTATTTATTTTTCAAAATACAATTCTCAATACTAAGTTAGATTTGCAAAACTTGGCCTTCCATCTTTGTTCTGTTTGAGCCTTTCTCTGTGTTTGATTTCTCCCTGATCTTCCTACTGTGATTTTTCTTTTCAGAACAAGTGGTATGACCTTTAAATGTTCAAACAAAACGTGTTTTTTTTAAATAAAATTACTAGAAATCACTTTATTTTCTGGGTCAATACACAATAACGTAATTCAGATGATCTAAGCTTATATAAAACAAACCTTTGCTTGGTATCTAACAAACTGAACACACCAATAATTTGCCATAACAAAAGCAGCGGTTTAATACCGTGTTTATCCTCTTGTTGCCACCAAAATACAATGGTCCTGTCTGGACACAATAACTCCAGGGTTGTCCTGTACTGTTTGGCATTTGGATATTGGCAGCAGGTGCTTATGTTCCACTGGGTTGTCAGATTGGGCCTGTTTTTCCCAGGCTTACGCCAATGGAGCCTGTAGAATCTTGATCGGATTGGGATCTGGGGAGTTTGGAGCTCGGACCAGTGCCTCACACACTTGGTTTTTGTTCTCGAAGCTTTCCTGAACAGGTATTGTTGCCTTTTGTCTTCTTGGAGCAATAAGACATTAATTAGTCTGCCCCAGGGTTTAGAGGTTTGGTCAAAAGAATATCATGACTACCAGAACTCAAAGTTCACCCACGGGTGTCCAAAGTGTGGTCCGAGGGCCATTTGCGGCCCTTGGAGTGATTTTGTGCGGCCCACAACTGCAGTTTCAGAATTGTATCATTTTAGCCAGCAGGCTTAAGAGTTCGATGCAGACTTTCTGAAAATTAGTTGATAAACCTAAACATTATATAAAAAATGATTAACAGCTAAACGGATGAAAAAAATTTTGCCAAAATGAGCAACTTTAAACAAAATCAGAGTCAGAGTCAGAGAGTCAGAGTTTCTTTATTGTCATTCGCACCTCATGTGGTACATGTGGTGGAGCGAAATTATGTACGCAGGGTCCCAGTTACATCCAACAATAAAATGTATAAGAAAAACAGTAATAACATCTAAGATATGAACTAAGAAAAACATCAACTAAATATACACTAAGCACTCATAACATAAAACATTGAACATCACCACAAACATGAACATGAGTCTGTGAGCAGATGAGCACGCATGAACACATCAACATTGAAACAGATCAGCAGCAACATGAAACAGATCAGCAGCAACATGATATGGTTTTTCACAGTGATTATTCTAGTTAGAGATTCATGAGTCTAACAGCCTCAGGGTAGAAGCTGTTCCTCAGTCTAGTGGTTCTACACTTAATGCTCCTTAACCTCCTTCCTGAGGGGAGTGGGGCAAAAAGTGTGTGTGCTGGGTGGGTGGGGTCCTTCGTGATGCAGGTGGCCCTCTTCCTGCATCTGGAGGTGTAGATGTCTGTGATGGTGGGGAGACTGATTCCGACAGATTTCTGTGCAGCCTTCACCACTCTCTGCAAAGCTTTTCTTTCTGCAGCTGTGCAGCCTCCATGCCACACATTGATGCTGGAGCACAGGATGCTCTCCACTGCACACCTGTAGAAGGAGGTGAGGACTGAGCTTCCCAGACCAGCTCGCCTCAGCCGTCTGAGGAAGTAGAGTCTCTGATGAGCTTTCTTGATCAGGCTGGTGGTGTTGTTGCTCCAGCTGAGGTTGTCATTCATGTGTACACCCAAGTACTTGTAGCTGGAGACCACTTCCACCGCAGATCCTCTTATGTTCAGGGGGGTGTAGATGTTTTTGTTCCTTCTGAAGTCCACAATCATCTCCTTTGTCTTCTTCACATTGATGTGAAGGTTATTCTCT